TCATTTAGGGTAATGATAACAGGCAAGAAAAGATTGCACTAACCCGCTGAGAGACATGGGGTAGGAATTCAGCCAGAGAATGAAGACCGACAAGATGTCCAGGATAGACTCATATTTGGGGTGAAGGACTCGGATGACAAAAAAAGGAACTAGAAGGCTCAGTAGACCAGACGGACCTACTTCACAATTCTGCCCAGGGCAAGTCTTGTTGGACCATTAAATGGGACAGAGCAAAACAAAGGCCAAACACATGATGGTCTGTGCTGGTGTGAACAGATGGTGGTAATGACTGTGGCCTCGTTTGAGATCAACACAGATGTCCATGCATTTGAGTAGTGCATGTCTGTGGACAGGAGTGTTGGGTCTTCTGGTTGTGCAGATTTGGAGAACACAATCTCCTTGACTCTTTTTCTAACTCAGTAATAAGTGTTGCCCATCTACTGTATCTCCTGCTGTAAGCTAGACCCTGGAGAAAATAAGACATGTAAGACTTGGTCTTAAAAAATTTCAACTGTGCTGAAGGAGTCAAAAATAACAGAAGTTGACTGGGTGTGGTAGCTCACGCCTATAATCCTAGCACTTTGAAAGGCCAAGGCAAGAGGATCACTTGAGCCCAGGAGTTCGAGACCAGCCTAGGCGAGATGATGAGAACTCATTTGTTAAAAAAAAAATTTCCAACAATTAGCTGAGCACAGTGGCATGCACCTGTAGTCCTGGTTACTCAGGAGGCTGAGACAGAAAGATTGCCTGAGGCCAGGAGGTTGAGGCTACAGTGTGCTCTGATTGTGCCACTGCGCTCCAACCTGGGCGACAAAGTAAGACTCTAACTCAAAAAAATAATAATAATATAGTAATAATAGCAAAATAACAGAAGTTGAGAGCAATACCAGACCCTGGGGAATCAAGAGCTAAGAGATGTGGTGCCAAATGAGACTATGGTCAGAACTCAGTAAGGTTGGGAGGCAGAGGACTGAGGGCCAGGGGGGGGAAGGAGAATTTGAGCTGGGGGTAATGCCCTGTGCAGGTCAGTACTGGGCTTAGAGCAGACAGAAGAAAGGAGAGGGAAGTGAGCTGTGAGGTTAGGAGTACAGTGATGAGATAAGGGAAGGATGACATGGGTAGAGAGGCTCTGTTGGGGTAGAGAGAAATTATTTGGATAAAAAGGTGGGCAATGAAGGTTTAATTTCATGTTAGGTCCAGTGGGTCATTATTAAAGTTTGGAGAGGGCCATTCTAGAAAGAGTTGCCTGCTTGTCCAGGTTCAGGGGCTCATGCCTATAATCCCAGCAATTTGGGAGGCTAAGGTGGGAGGATCACTTGAGATCAGGAGTTTGAGACTAGCCTTGGCAATCCAATGAGAACTCGTCTCTACAAGAAATCAAAAAGCACATCAGGCTTGATGGTGCATACTTGGAAGGCTGAAGCAGAAGGATTGCTTGAGCAAGGAGGTCGAAGCTGTGGTGAGCCATGATCATGCCACTGCACTCCAGCCTGGATGACAGAGTAAGACCCTGACTCACAGGAAAAAAAAAAAAAAGTTGTCCAGCTGTGACTGTGAGGGCTTTGTTCCATTTGGGAGCATTTTTAATGAAGATGAGGTTAGCCAGGTGTGTGGATTGGTGTATTAGGCACATTCTTTCCAGACTCTGATGAGAATCCCATCAGCACCCTGGCCAGAGACTCTGCCAACAGCAACTTTGAGCACAAGTGTGGTAGAGGAAAGGAAACGACTTTGGAGCCAGATAGACTCATTAACAAATTGTTCCAATCTCTCAAAGCCTTAGTTTTTTCATCTGTGGAATGGATATAATTCCAACCTCCTAGGATTTGTATATGGAAAGCACCTGATACCCAAAAAGCACTCAAAATACTAGTTGTTTCCCTTTCCCCTTTTGTTTATCAAAACGATTGATTGATGTTACATGATAATGTTTTGTGGCAACTTAAAAACTGTCTCAACTATAGACACCCACAGCAAGGAAAATGCTTTGAGTCTTTCTTAATTTAAAAAAAAAAAATTGAATTTTCTGACAGGCCCAGGAAACATAGTGAGACCTTGTCTCTACAAAAAATAAAAAAAATTGCCAGGTATGGTGGCATGCACTTGTAGTCCCAGTTACTCAGAAGGGTGAGGTGGGAGGATTGCCTGAACCCAGGAGGTAGAGACAGAGGTTGCAATGAGCTGGGATTACATCACTGCACTCCAGCCTAGGCAACAGAGTGAGATCCTGTCTCAAATAAATAAATAAATAAATAAATAAAAGTTCACAAAGTAACACAATGTTTCCATAAAGGATAAACATTTTTCTTCTCACTATGAATAGTTGTATTTTTTAACTTTTTTTTTCTTTTTTTGAGTTGGAGTCTCACTCTGTCGCCCAGACTGGAGGGCAGTGGTCGCTCCCGGCCACCGCAGCCTCGACCCGCTGGGCTCCGGCGATCCCTCCGCCTCAGCCTTCCGAGTAGCTGGAACTACAGGCGTGCGCTACCACGCCCGGTTAATTTTTGATTTATTGTAGAGATGAGGTCTCGCCAATTTAAACTAAATATCCATTACAGGTTCAATGGAGAAGAGGGAAGGAGACGCACAGGTGAGTGGAAGAATGAGCGCATGAATTCCTCTAGTGAGTAGGCAGGGGAGGCATCCACTTTTTCCTTTAGCATTCGGATTTTCTCAGTTTTCCAAAAAGGATATTATTGTCCTTTGTACTTAAAACTCTCAGCTTTCCTTCCCCCACCCTGGACCAGCCGTGTGTGTGGCTGTGGGAGGGAGTACCCAGGTACCTAGGTGTGCAGCCTCAGACATGGTGGAGGGGGCGCCTGGTAATTCACAATGAAGAGGAGCGATGTGAGTCTATTTCACGATGTGTCTTTCTCCTTTAAAAGGAAAAATGCCACTTATAACTCGTGCCGCCAAAAGGTTTGTTTCCCAGATCTTTTCCTCAGGAGGAAAAAAAACCCAGATTCTTAGAAAAAGAAGAGAAAGAAAAGAATGAAAATTACTATTGGAAACAGTGGTGGGAAGATGGGTGAGCTTTTTCCTCAAGCTTCATCTACATTATTAAATATTTGTGCTGTAATGGAGGTTGAGAGTCCTCTGGGACAGATCAGGCTATTAGGGAGGATGTGTGTGGAATCCCGGTGTGTGACTGTGAGAGTGTGGATGAGAATGTGGAGAGTGCTGTGTCGTGTGAACCCATCTGTGTGGAGTGTGGAGAGTGAGCACACATTCCATATGGGATTTGTAGAGTGTGTGTGGATGTGTGAGTGTGGGTTGTGGACATGAGGGTGGAGCATATGCACAGCGTGTGTGGAGTTTGGAGAGTGTGTGTGTGTGAGTGTGGATGCGTGACTGGGTAAGTGGACATGAGGGTGAACAGTGAGCACAGGGTGTGAAGAGTTTAGTGTGTGAGTGTGGATGTGTGAGTGTGGATGTGTGGACGTGAGTGTAGACAGTGTGTAGAGTTTGGTGAGTGTGCGTGTGTGTGTGTGAGTGTGTGTGTGAGTGTGTGTGTGGGTGTGTGGACATGCGTGTGGCAAGTGTGCACGGTGGCATTTGGAGAGTGTGCGTGGGGATGTGAGTGTGGGTGTGTGCCCCTGAGTGTGGCAGGTTTGCAGAGTGTGTGTGTGGTTGCATGAGTGTGTGGGCGTGAGTGGGTAAGTGGACATGAGGGTGAACAGTGAGCACAGGGTGTGAAGAGTTTAGTGTGTGAGTGTGGATGTGTGAGTGTGGATGTGAGTGTAGACAGTGTGTAGAGTTTAGTGAGTGTGCGTGTGTGTGTGTGAGTGTGTGTGTGAGTGTGGGTGTGTGGACATGCGTGTGGCAAGTGTGCACGGTGGCATTTGGAGAGTGTGCGTGGGGATGTGAGTGTGGGTGTGTGCCCCTGAGTGTGGCAAGTTTGCAGAGTGTGTGTGTGGTTGCATGAGTGTGTGGGCGTGAGTGTGGCAAGTGTGCACAGTGTGTGCAGTTTGGACAGTGCGCGTGTGGATGTGTTAGTGTGAATGTGTGGACTGAGTGCGGAGGGTGCACACAGCGTGTGGAGTTTGGATATCGTGCATGTGGATGTGTGAGTGTGGGTGTGTGGATGTGAGTGTGGAGGGTGTGCACAGTGTGTGGAGTTTGGAGAGTGGGCGTGGGGATGCGTGAGTGTGGGTGTGTGGACTGAGTGTGGAAGGTGTGCACAGTGTGTGGAGTTTGTAGCGTGCTGTGTGGATGTGTGAGTGTGGGTGTGTGGACTCTGAGTGTGGAGGGTGTGCACATTGTGTGGAGTTTGCAGAATGTGCGTATGGATGCGTGTGTGGGTGTGTGTTCGTGAGTGTAGCGAGTGTGCAGTGTATGGAGTTTGGATAGTGTGCATGTGGATGTGTGAGTGTGGGTGTGTGGATATGAGTGTGGAGGGTGTGCACCGTGTGTGGAGTTTGGAGAGTGTGGGTGGGGATGCGTAACTGTGGATAGGTGCCCGTGGGTGTGGTGAGTGTCCACAGTGTGTGGAGTTTGGAGAGTGTGGGTGTGGGCGTGTGGACATGAGTGTAGCGAGTGTGCACAACGTAGGGAGTTTGGAGAGTATGCGTGTGGAGGCGTGAGTGTGGGTGTGTGGACTGAGTGTGGAGGGTGTGCACAGTGTGTGGAGTTTGCAGTGTGCGTGTGGATGTGTGAGCGTGGGCGTGGGGCCTGAGTACGGAGGGTGTGCACAGTGTGTGAAGTTTGCGGAGTGTGCGTGCGCGCGCGTGTGCGGCAGGTGCGGGAGCGCGGGC